ACTAGGAATGGACTAAAATTCAGCCTTACTGCTGTCAAAGCCGCCAAGGCCCCTTCTGCTGTCAGTTTCCGTTATCATGGAGTGGCTTAATAAGTGAGCTACTTCAGGATATCAGTAAATTGAACACTCCTTCTGCTCCTCTGCAGAGAGGTAATCAAAGGGGGGGGGGAGGAGTTGGGGTTTTTTGTTGTTGTTTTTGCCTTTGCTAGACCACTACTGATGTGCTGAATTGCTTCAATTAAACTAAAACATTTTTTTGCCTTGTGTGAAGTGCCAATCGAAACTGTGGCTGTGGAAAGTTTTTCAGTCATCACTACAAACAAGGCAAGAATTTTTTTAAAAACTTAATCTATGTAATTCAGCACATCGGTGATGACCTAGCAGAGAGAAAAAAATTACACTTCCCCTGCCCCTCCACAGAGGAGCAGAGGAAATGCTCCATTTGCCAATATACTAAAGTGGCTTGTTTATTAAGCCACTACATGATACTAGAAATTGACAGTGGAAGGAGCCAGACCAAATAGTGTTGCTTGAGGTCTGTATGCTTTTGGAAGAGTGGATCACACCAAATGGCATATCACTTCTCCCCATGACTTCAGGTGACCCTATTTAGGCTACACTACTAGCTGACTCAAAAAGGGCCAGTGTAGTCACAGCCTGAAGCCCTAGGGCTGTTCCAGAAAGGAGCTGAAAAGCTCGCAAAAGGGCCAAGATGGATCATTCCTACTTAAAACACATGAACACAATAAAGTGAACCAAACCACACCAAAAGCGAAGCAAATCGCAAGCTATATGCTTGTCTGATTGCCTCCTTACTTTTTTTAGCCAATCTTTCCTTCAAAGAATTTCAGACATTGTACATGGCTCTTGTCTCCTTTATTTTATTGTTACAGCAGCCTCATAAAGTAGGACAGGCTGGGAGATAGTGATTGGGCCAAGCTCCCTGAGTGTTGTAAGACACCGGACACTGGTCTTCCCACACTTAATAACATATTCTGTCCACTACAATGACTGACCGTGTTGGTTGATCTATCTCTGGATCTTTTTAATCTAAGCCAACCTCTTTTACTTGTTGCCTAGTATGGTGATTGCCTTACACACAGCCCCTTTAAAGGCCTCTTGAAACCTAACCTAATATTGCTACCAAAGGCAATCTGATCCCCTGCGCACACAGGGACAACAAACTGTGCTCACAAGGGACAGAGGCTAACATCTCCTGTGCTACTTTTGTGTAACAAGTATCCTGTCCTGCTGCTGAACAGTTAATTTGGCTAAAAAAAAAAAAAAGAGAGAGAGGCCCATCCATCCTCAGTGAGAACTTTCAAATGATTGCAGCCCCTATGAGGAGTACTGATGACACACATACGCTTGTCCTCATCTATCTGAAACTGCAGAATCCTGCCCAGAACTGAGGGGAAAAATACATTATGAGGGGATGCAAAAGAACCATACCCAGGAAACTAACTATAGCATGTAGGAAAGTTCTCAAGGACCGGTCTCATTTCAGTGCAAACTATAATTGAATAAATATTATTCCAATAATGTATTTCCCCCTTTCAGTGCCTGAAGAGAGCTCCAAATGGTGATCTTCACAAATATGCAGCTACATTCCCTAGAGAGCTGCACTCCCTCCCACCACTGCAAATCCTGCAGGCATCCACTTCTTTTGCCCCTCTGCCCCAGTTACTGACCTTGTTGGGATTACTCCTAACAAACAAATACCTGATCTGAGCCTAGCAATGGCATTCCCATGACTACCACAGGCCTGCCCTCATTGTCACCCCAGATTAAGGTTGGCAGGGATCAGGCTAGTGAAAGGATGATTAACAATGCCTAGGCAGGTGGGTGGACACCTGATGAAGGGAAACAGGTTGGTTGTGGAAGCCGTCGTAGTTGATCTGGATGTTCTGCTACTGCTCTTCAGCCATAACATAGCACTGCATAACATCCCAGTCTCTGGTTCCACCAGTCGAGTTCTGCTGAAGGCCTCCAGACCTGACTGGCTAGAGAGGGGAACTTTAGTTCATGCACGTGCTCTACGTGCTGAAGGTCCCTTTGTCCAACGTCTAGTGACTGGAGTTCAAAGAATCAGGTGGCAAGTGAAGGGAAGGACCTTTGCCTGAGATCTCTGCATTCCCAGAACCACCAATGAGAGGAGACAGTACCGGATTTGATGCACAAATATCAGAGCTTCAAAAGTTATTTTTGAGAAGAATAAATATAATGACATGCAGAAGCCATCCCTACCTGGATCCCAGACCACCGAGCTGTCACTGGTCAGTGACAGATGGCTACAGCATATATTCCTTCTTCTTGAAAATGACTTCCCAAGCTCTGACAAATACCTTGTTTCCCCCAAAATAAAACCTACCCTGAAAATAAGCCCTAGTATGATTTTTCATGATGCTCCTAATATAAGCCCTGCCTCAAAAATAAGCCCTAGTTAAGTGAAACCCTGCCCTCCACCATTGTACAGCAACCTGAAGAAGATGACATGTATTTGAATAAATGTAGATTATTGTACATGAAAAAAAAATCCCCTGAAAATAAGCCCGTATCCGTTTTTGGAGCAAAAATTAATATAATTTTTGGGGGAACATGGTAGTCTGGCCTGGTATAAGACATCTTCCTCTGACTCTGTGTTATCCATGGAAGGATCTGTCCCTTGAGGTGGAAGAAAATCCTGAAGGTTGGATTCTTTGTTACTATAATAGATCTGCTTCTTCTTAGGCAAAAGCCTTTTGAAAATATCTGTTACTATGATGGAAATGAGCTAGTGTGGTACTATATGCACAATTAATACCTAGGCTCATCATCTTAAATGTTCCTCAGTAGCTATGAGAGACAGTGAGATATCAATCAGATAGACTCCCCAACAGATCTCAGCCTCTTGCGACTTTATTTTTGTCCCTCTGAGTATTTCCCAGCACATCTATGCTTTATTAATCCTGAGCAGTCTAATTAGTCAGAAGATAGTTCACAGCCCCATTCTTAGGGCCCAAAGGGATCCTGGTGTGCTTTGCTGGTTATTAAAAGCTATTATATCACAGGAGGTTGTTTTGTGTAGGGAGCCTAGGAAAATGTTGGAGATAGCACAGGTCATGCTTGACAGGATCATCAAATGCGGAATTTCCATTACCTGCTTCTAAAATTGGGGTGGGTGGTGGATATAGTCACATTAGTGTGTTGCAGCAGGACCAATAAAGAATTTTGTGTTGCCTTCAAGACTAACAAGTTTTATTGGAGAAACCCACACCGGTATAGGCATCTGCAATGGGTTGTAATTCACACAAGTTTATACCAAATAAAACTTGTTCCTCTTTAAGATGCCACAAGATTCTGTTATCATAGCCCACAGACTCTAGCCAGATGCTTTCTAAAATATTTAAATGCTGTCATCCTTACTGCAAGGACAACAACCTGTACCAGATCAGGAAGAAGTGGAACAACACTTAGATAGCAATAGTGGTGGCTCATGGACCGGAATGGGGGTACCTTGCTCCAAAATGTTCATGTGTCCTCCCTGGGGTGGTAGCAAGTCACCCTCCAGTGGCAGACTGCAAACCATTTGAACAATTGTATTATTTATTTAAAATATGTTTACTCCGCCTTTCTCCTCATAAGGACCCAAGGCAGCTAACAAATGTCAGAAACAGAATACAAGGAGCAACAAGGAGTGCCCTTCTTCTCCTTGAAGGAGTGCCCTTTACCCAGGCAACAGAGCAGTGCTTCCTTCAGCTTCTCAGAATGAAACAAAGCTTGTTCTCCTAGAAGGGATGCATTATACCACAGGTATAATGAAGACACAAGGACTACAAGCGAGAAAACAGTGCTGGACTAGGCTTGCTGCGTGAGCAGGTGAGGCAATGTCCATCTAACCAACAATGGCCCTCTGAACCATCAAGGAGTCTAGGATGTACTTAGAAGAGGCTGGGTACAAAATGTAGGTGTGATTGGCTCTGCCTTTGGTGACCCTGACCTTTGCCTCACCAGCCCCCCCCCCCCC